CGCCGGCCCAGGGCGGCCAAGCGGCGGCGCGGGCTCTGTCCCGGGCCCGGACTCTGTCGGTCGCCCGCCCAAGGGAGCGAGTCCCGGCCTCCCCGCGCCGGGGCTCGGAGGAAAAGGCCGCACCGCGTCGCGGACAGCGCGGGTTCTCGGCCCCGACTCCACCTGCCGCCGTCCCGGCGTCTCCCAGCCTCCCAAGGCTGCTCCGCGCTGGCGCCGCTCTGCTGTATCGTATCTGATGACTCAGGTTGTCCCGTGGATTCCACCAGCCAGTGTCAGGCGCGAGACACAGTAACCCTCAATAAATGGTGGCTGGTGTTAATCTTTGAGTGCGTGCTGTGTGCCTGGGGCTATGGAGCGAATTCTCCGCCCTCTAAGGCTTTCAGAGAGGTCGAGAGACTCGCGCCAGGTGGCAAAGCTAGTGAGGGGCTCACAAGAACCTGAGATGGTCCCACCGGCATCAAATTGCCTCCCAGGTGGAAGTCCTATCCCCCCCCACACACTCCCCTAGGACCCTGCGGCTCTGACTGTGCTCCAGACACACAGTGCATGTACACACACACACACGCACGCACGCTGGAGTGAATAAAGTGAACCTGCTGGTGATTTAGCCCCAAAGCCAGCAACCCTGTGCTTGGGGAGAGGGTGTTTTTCCGGAGTTCTCTCCTCCCAACATGTCCCATTGTCAGGACTTTATGTAGCACTCTCACATCTTGAATCACCGTTACCTGCACCTTTGATCCTGCAGTGAGGGTAGACAGGAATTGATATTTGTGTCCATATTTACACAGATGAGGAAACAGGCTCAGGGAGCATACATGACTTGCCTAAGCTTGCCCCCTGGTCACCAGCAGAACACAGCCCCAGCTGTATTCTCAGAGCAAGGCCTTTCCTCTCCCCTAGGAAGCCCTCAGCTGGTCATCTTATTTCCTGATAAGTGGGGTCCAGGAAGGCCAATCAAGTTCTCCTGGAAGGCAGAGTCCAGTGGCTCTCTGTCAACATCAAGCCTCTTTGCCTAGGTCTTCCTTGTCAACCATCCTGGACTTTGAGAAGAGAGGGAAGAGAGTCCATTTTTCAGGCCACAGAGTATCTGAAATTGGGTTAAACCTTGTTTAACCACCAGTGTTCTGGGGAATCCCTCTTACTCTGGGTCCCAGTTTGCACATATCAGATAAGTGACTCTTGCTTGCCCATGATGCTATGAGAAGCACTTTCATATAACAATGAAAAAGA